CAAATACATTATGAGTAAATGTAATAAGATTTTACATGTAATGCTGTATAACAAGGTAATGTAATGCTGTACAGCAACCAATTGGGTCCGAGCGCTAGCGCTAAAATATAGGACAGTATCATCTGCAAATAACCTTGTTATACAGTCAAGATCGCCAGCCAAATCATCAATGTATATCAAAAATAATAGAGGCCCCAAGACAGAGCCTTGAGGAACTCCACGATTAATCTTTGCAGGTTTAGAAGTCTGACCGTTGACGACTGTAATGGTCGATCTGTCAGATAAATAACTGCGAAACCACTGTAACAAGGCACCTCGAATTCCTTTTTTTTTCCAACTTGTACAGCAAAGGAGAATGCCAAACTTTATCGAAAGCCTTNAGTCTAAGTAAACAGCAATACGATCATCACCATTTTCAAGATCCCGATAAATATTATGTACAAATTCGATTAATTGGGTCACAGTACTGTGATATTTGCGAAAGCCAGATTGCGTCATATTAAGAAGATTATTTTTTATCATGATTATTCATTTGTATCTCTATTCCGTGATTTTTAGTCCTCGCAGTCAGCAGGTCGGGAGAAACCATCAAGGACAATCATGCAAAAATGTTGTCTCCAATCGTTGCACGTTTGAAAACATTGCAAAAACCAACTTTATATCGTATATCAACTAGCACATGGGAAATATTAAGGATTTATTTAATCGGAATCAGTAATGATAAACCAGCAAATAGTATGGTGCAAAACCAGCCGGAGCCAAATGCATTATACGGATGTTCCAAATGAGAGATTGCTGATTAGTCGCTCTTTTTCTAACAAAAATAAATAAACAATAGCTGCTTGTTTGGTTTTCTCTCCTCTGTTTTAGGACATACTACACCAGCCAAAATTCATGCGACGCCATCGCATTCAACAACAATAATAACAACATGGGTGAGAATATTCCCAACTCCAAGAGACAAACAACCAGAAATGCGTTCGAATGCCTGATGGCACGAAATCAGTCACGCTGTTCGAAACGGCCATCAATCTATAACGGATGACAATAAATCACATACTTATGGCTACTTAGGCGAGTGCAGATTGAGCGAGCTAGCATTTATTGAACATCATTCATGAGTCATACCTTACACTCCATATACCATGGTGTTTTTGTACGTATTAAATGCAAAAACATTTGTGTTGATTGCTAGATTTTTTTTATTCTTTTGTATAATATGGAAAAAATTATTGCAATTATGGACGAAACTATCGAAGAAACAGCCGTGGTCATTGACAAAATTATTACCGATAATTGATGCAGATCTTGTCAGTATTCATTATCCAAGCACAACAGCAAGAGCACCACGACGTATAATGAAATGTTTGAAATTAAAAGCCAATGAATGTCGAGTGCTTTTGCACATCGGTTATCCTATTTTAAAAATACTAAAATGTTACATTATGAAAACTGATCACCTATCTAATTAAAGTTCTTCTTAGCATATCTGACTAAAAAAGATTTATTAATCAAAACACAATACACCATTAAATTCCGTGCGAAATTCTGTGCAAAGTTCTATACTTCATGTGACAAAGCAAAATCCTTCTAAGTCAAGATGGCCCTCGAAAGAGTTTTTCATGAAAGTTTCAAAGGAGTTTAGGAGGATTCATCTTTAGTAGTATCTAATATTATTTTACACTTTTAAAATTAAATTTAGAATTTTGTTTTCTGGTGTATGCGATCTTGTAAAGTGAGAAATTCTGCAACTTCTGATATAAAATGCACGGCTTTAAATGGGGCAAAATACCCGTAATATGGATTTTCTACGTAAGTCAGTCAATTTAGGGCTTTCCTCTTCTTGCAAAAAAGATGCACGTTTGCAAGATGCACCCGAACGTTTTCTCCTATATGGCTGTTTCTTTTCTTGTTCCGTTTGTTCATGCTGTCAATATACAAAAATTAGAGAAATCAGAGAAGAAAAGAATATATTCATCACCGAGAAAAATGCCGGAAAGGAGAAGAAGGCGCTAGTTTCAACGTACAACTAGATTTTCATTCTTTTCTCAAAAACTAAGAGTTGTGCAGGAAAGAGGTAGCATGTTCGAAATCCTCGTAAAATTCTAAATCAAATGATGTACTTTGTTCTCTTGTAAACCACCTTCAGAAAAAGTGTCACGGTTTGCCATACATGATGCAATTTATATTGATCCAGTTCATCGAAAAAGCGACTTTTGTTTTCAAAAATCGCGCTTTTCCGATATACGTCTCTACCGTCAAGAGCTTGTCCAAGCAGACGAATTTGTTATAAATTTTTAAACTCCACACATCAGTTCAGATTAGGGAAGAAGCCACTCTTCACTAGTCAAAATAGGCAATCAGTGTTTGATAGTGAACAGTCAAACTGTTAATCGTTAATAGTAAAGACCCGTGTTGATCAAACCGGTAAAAAACCGTCCGCCTTCAATCTCTATAAGGAAACCAAGCGCCTTAAAACGTGTTGATGAATTTGATGTAGTTATGAATATTGCGTCTTAATTTGTCAAGGCAGTTGAAAACTGGAGTTTATGCGAACAAATAAATGAAAAATGGAAGAATTTCCGTCCTCGCCTCCTCCTCTTCTGTTGCGAAACTCTTTTTATACAGTCAATCTAATTTTTGTCTCAACTTTAGGTGAAATCAGTTACCTTCTCACTTTATTTTGTCAAATCTTATCGTGCTCTTTTTGCTCCGATTCCAGTTTCATTTTTTGATGCCTCGATGCATACTTTTTTCACTTTGTAGGGAATTCCGATTCATGTGCATCTCCCGTCAAACGATTGGGGGCTAGGTTTCTCTCATTCCTTCATCGCAAAATTAGAGTAGCTGACCTTGTCGTAAGACTTGACTATTTCTGAGAATCGGATTTTGAAAGTTTTGCGGAATATTCTATCGATGGTAGCGGTCTGTATATCGGCTAACATCTCTGCTCGTGACATATTATCTCTTCTTAAATGTCTCTCACCTTTTCTTTCTTTGTAGGAGCAGCTAAAAAAGGTCGATGTACAAAAGCAGCCGGCGTTTTAGCAAGGTTTGAAATTCAGGAGATTATTGATAAGAACGGAGGAGATGTCAAACCAATATTAGATAAAGATTCAATGTCAAAAATATTAACATTTGATCTAAAAGCATAATTAGATGAAAAAATAGCACAGATTAATCATGAATTAGAACAATTTAAAAATTCATACAGTCAACAATCATCGACAGTTGATAATCCAACAGATGTAAATCTTAAATTATCGCAGTGTGACAAAGAAATACGCGAATGTAAAGCAGATATGGATAAAAGGATGAATTATTTGGAACAATATGATCGCAGGACAAATCTACGCTTTTTCGGAATTGATGAAATGGAAAATGAAAATACAAATGAAATAATATTACAAATTGCTGAGTGTCTTGATATACCAGTCTACGAAATTGATATATCACGAAGTCAGCGTGTTGGAAAATATAATCCTCAAACATCTACTCCTCGCCCGATAATCGTTCGCTTCACGTCTTATCGCTCACGTGAATTATTTTATGAAAATCGTAAATATCTTAGTAAATCAGATTACTACTATATTACAGTACGCGAAGATCTTACGAGAGAAAATCTAAATTTATTACGGCGTTGTATTGAACTTCGTCCACCTTCCGTTTAGATCCTTTCTCAATATGATATAATGTTTATTCTTCATTTCAAAGCACTGGACTCTCTTTCTTCGCTCTTCAAAAACCATGCATTTTTTCTTGCAGGCGATGGGCATACGTCTAAAAACTTCATGAGTATTATTTGAACCGTTCTTCAAGGCTGCGGAATTGAAGATTCATTGACATTGATCTATGATTCAGCAACAATAAAGAACCTAACGAATGCTCATGATTATAAGAAAAGTTTACGTGCATTAAAAATGGTGTTTATTTTTCTATTAACATCGCAATTAACTGCGTATATTGAAGAAAATAAAAATGAAGAATCGATGTTGAGACATATCATACATGAATTTGAAACAAATTTCGATATTCAAGATATGAGGAAAGAAATTCGATCAAATGAAATTTTAAATGAATTTCAAACATGGACGATGATCATCTACATTCTTATTATCGGTCGTCTAGTCTCGATGCCAAAATGTTAAGAACAGTCGAAGAATTACTTTCAGTCGAAGAAAATGGAAGTGAGATGAATATCGAAAATATATTTAGTCGAATTCAACGAGATAATTCAGATTTAAAAATGCTTATAAACTCAATCAAAATAAATCCATTTATGATCAATAATAATACGTCTTTCATGCGTCTTTCAACCGGTATTATTGTGCCTGATGATGTTGTCAAAGAAATATTAAATGCTGGGACTTTAGGTGCAGAACAATCATTAGAATTTTATCGCGAAACGTCTGATCGAAAAAAGTATGAAATATGATGGTAAAATAGTTCATAATCGAATAAGCACATTATCAAGTTGGGATGAAGTACCTCGTCTAATTCTAAAACAAACAATTGTTAGGAAGTAGTTAACCTAATCTCATATCAATAGTTGTCATCTTTCAATATACATATTCTTATCGTCACTCGATGGTTATTTTCCCTTTCTGTTCTTCTGATATATGTATTCACTCTTCTGCTT